CTTGTTATGCCTGGAATATTAACACAAATTAAATTTCATATTAAATTCATGCAATTAGATGCTGATCTAACAAATTCAGTCACGAGGTTTTGCTACAGGTAAACTGAAAAACACAGCAAATACATCGTTATATGCATACACTAGGTCAGAAACTGAATACTTGATTTTTTTATCTGAACACATACTTTATTGTCAATTAGTCTATGCTCGATATATATACACTTGTAATATTGCTAAAACATTGTTTTACCTACCTACTGAACGTAGTAAGCCTTTTCTACTTCAGTGGACCTTTTCAAACCTCCTGTAGAAATAATTATGGAATTGCAATATTAACTAGCTATGTACAGTAAAGCCTGTTTATGCAAACTCTCTAACCCAAGAACGATCCCCAGATGTTATTCATTTGCCCAATAACCCGCTAGATTATCGGAATATGTTAATACCCCTCAGATCATTTTAGCGATCTGGGGCTGTGTACAAAATTATTTCTCTATTTTTTTAGACAGAAGCTCCCTTTCATATTTCTGGTTAAGCAAAAAGGAGAGCAGTTTCAGGGATTTCCCTCCAAGTGTGATCTTCAATGTGTTTATGGCGTAATAAAAGCCGTTTGTATTTTAATTCGATTTTGTTTCGTGCAGCTGTAGGACAATTACGTTAAAATTAACCAAATATAATAAGTGGCTTGGCTGAGGGACAACGCCTAGAGTTACTTCCGACTGTACTGTTTAAAAACTAGCAGTGTTGTTGTCGGGTCAGTACATTGAGGGGGAGCATGAAATTGCACCATTTCCAAGAGTAACATAATCAGAGACCGGTTTCTGTCAAATGTTTTGGTGCTGGTTGCCCCCACAAATATTCAAAGGCTGGTGCTCATTGTAGTCTGAGCCATGACCGGGAATCTGGTATGGGCGCAGCAGGCAAGTGTCCCGGCAGGCACCTTACTGGTGACGGGCACAAGAAACACTGATGTCCTGAACAAATGTGGGTGCACAGGAATCAAGTGCTTCCAAGCGTGCGGGGCTGCGTGCACCTGCTTTAGCAACCCTGGCCATAGGAACGCAGTCGGGGTGGCTCTGAGACTCTGTCAATGCAGTTCAGAGAGGCACGAGTTACCCCTGGGGGGTGGGACCGAGGGCTTGTTTGAGCAAGCTGCCTGCTCCTAGGGAGCGTCCTCTGGGCTGCTGCTTTTGCCACATTTTTCATTTTTAAACGCATCCTCGCTAGTTTCACTAAGGCTGAGATAGAGAGGGGGGTTAAGACAAAATCCATACAAACAACCCTATTTAACGCCTATGCTGTTGTTCAGCAATTGTGTTCCAAGTCTGCTTCGCGTTTACAGTTTGTTCAACACTTGCCTTGAATCCTAGAGGCTGGATTAATATTTAGGAAATAAACGCCGTTCTCCAGGGGCTGTGCCTGTAATAGCTCGCCTTTGATAACCTGAGCGAGACTCTGCTCTCCTCTCAGAAGATCAGTGGCTGGGTTTCAGGTTACAGTCAGGAGAGCCGTTGCATTTGATATTCGGCTGCAGTTTGAGAGGAGCACAGGTAGCCAGAGCCTTCCTGGACATTTACCTCACAGCCAAACAAAGTGAGAGATTAAAAGAAATTAAGCATCCCATTGCCTCAGATCTGCATGGAGCTTGGCAACATTTCAGCAACAGCAGCGAAAACCAAACAATAATGCGACTCATCTGCACCCCACCTTCCCGCCTCTCTCTCCCACAATTTTTCCACCAGCACCAGAATGAGGTCCCCTGAAAACCCCAGCGCCCTGCGTGCGCGACGGAGCAGGCTGCTCGGGGGCATTTAGACGCCTTGGCTTGACGATAATTGAAGTCCGACTTTTTCACCCTGAAGCGGGATCCAGACCTGTTCGCAGCCTCCTCTGAGCCCGCAGCTCCCTCGGGGCTCGGGTGCTGCTGGCACTAACCGCTTCGGTAGCTTCCCCCCGCCCCTTCTCAGCCCCAGCCCGGCCGGCTCCTGCACACGCATTGCCAATGCGACTCCAGCCCTTTGACCCGCCGCTTTTTGCAAGGCTGCTGGGGTTGGGCGGTGGAAGCGCAGCGAGGGACAAGGGGGAGCCACCTCCCCAGCCCTGCACGGATCCCTTGAGCCTAGGGGAGAGAGAGGGACAAGGGCAGCCTAGTGCCTAAGCTGCAGCCCTGGCTGCGCACGCTCGAGTTCCTCGGGGCAGCGGCCGCTTTGCCCCTGGCCGGGGAGGGCAGGCGCGGGGAGCGGCCCGGCGGGGGCTGGGCAGGGGCTGTGCCGCAGGGCCAGCGCTGGAGACTTGAGCTGTGGGGCACACGGAGTTCCCGGGAAAGGCGCTCGGAGCGCGCGCTGCGCACACGGGCTACCAGCACCTGCCATTTGGAAGCGCGCACTTGTGTTGTTTAACGTCCCTTCTTCTTAATACAAAAACAGGACAAAATACTGTCGCTTGTGGTAGACACAATAAGGCTCCGCACAGAGCCGCCTAGCGGGGGCTGGCGGAAGGCGCCGCAGCCGCCGGGTGCTGCGCTAGCGGGGGCTCTAGCTATTCTTGCCCATTTCTCTCTGCAGTGCTCAAACTTTCCGTGTGGCCCTTCCACAGCGCTCCCGCGCTTCTCGGGTGGCTAAAGAGCGCGTCTCTTCGTCCGACGTGTCCTGGCAGCTCCCTGCAGCAGGCTAGCGCGATTTTCAGCGCCGTCCCGGGGCTAGAAAGATGCTGGTTCTCGCGGTGACGAAAGGGGGGGGGGGACATGTTTACGTTTGCTCCTCGGGGTGCAGCCCCTCCGGCCTCGACGGAGAAAGCCACCCCGGCGTGGAGCTCACACAGCTCACGTGCCGCGCAAAAAGCCACCGAAGGATACAAAGCGACTTGCGTCCAACTCCCCTCGCTACCAGGAAAGGAGCCACCGGAGCGGATCGGAGCCTAACCCGGCACACAGCGCGTCTGGCATCCTGTTCAAAAGCTCAAGCAAATGCCAAAGAACTCAGCCTCTAAATCCTGGGCTCGCCTTTCCAATAACCTCACCTCAGGGGACACTGTGTCAAAACATCTCCCTAGCCTCAGCTCCTGTCCTGTAAGCACCCAGCACCGACTCTGCACAGAAACATAAGACAAAGCCGCGTTTCCCGACATGCTTTTTACATCGTTGGGTATAAACCGCTAGCAATGCACTGGCCAGGCTATAGGAAAGGAGAGAGCCTCCCTCTCCCACGTCTCCTCTGTGTCCATGGGAAAGCCAAAATGCAAACCTGGAACTACACAACACGCTAGGACAGGAAACCACAATGCACGTTTTTAACTCAAAAAAACCATGAAACGGTTATAAAGTGAACTGCCCTTAGCATCCACGGGATTTCTTCTCCCTAGTTCACTTAAATATTTTCAATTTCCCCTTTGTAAAACGTAAACTGCTTTCAAACACCACGTTAACGTTTTGCCAGGTTTATTTTACTTGTTATACACAGACAATACAAACGGGCAAAAAACAAAACATCTCAATGGAGCTTGCACTTGTATAAATCATTCAGTTCCACAGACATAACAGAACAAATATAAAAATCACAACATTAGATTTACAGAAGAGCCAAAAATATACACACGTTTATGACCCTGAATTTCTATTAGGAGAATTTCCCCATCGGCTGGAATCTTGGCTGACTATTTTGCCTGATGCATATTTCACTTGGTATTTTTTCCATATAAAATGCTTATATTGTATAGATTTGCTACTCAGAATTTAAAGACTTACTATTCTACTTCCACGGGGGAGAGCCTGGGGGTTAATGCTCCTTCTCAAACGTAACAAGAGACGTAGAAGATGGATCACTCTGACTCGCAATGCTTAGTGCACCCCCTAGAAAGTTAGATTCAGTTATCTACTTTATGAAAAAGTCAGTTCCAAAACTAAATGCAGTAAAATATACAACTCACAATTCATCTTCACTGGACTACACTATGATTACCAACAATTCAGTCGTCTATATCGTTTGTAGGTTATTCATTACAACGATTTACAGCAATATAAATAAAGGGGGAGAAACTGTAAAGACATTTGGAAACTGTTTGTCAGCATTTTTGGCACCCGCACAAACCGGTAATGGATTTGGCACTTGGAGGGGTGAGATGAACAAAAAGGGAAAAAATAATGTTGCTGTAGAGCTACTCCTCTTTAAGATTAAAAAAAAATACAGATGCAGTTACTTGGCAGTTTGAAGGCGTCCCGCTACCTAATCGACTTTCAGACTAGATAGATTTCTATTCTTTTGAGGGTCAAGCACAGACACCCCTTAGCGGTGTCAACCCAGGGCACAGAGTAGTTTATTCCATGCCAGGAATTTCAAGAAAGTGAGAAACCCATTATTACGTGTTAGCTATTTCTATGGGATATCTTGCTTTTCCAGAGGCATTTAGAACAGAGATTGAACTTTGGGGGTCGAGAGAGGAGAAACTGAAAAAAATTAAACATGATCTAGTTTGAGACTTCACAATGGGAACAAAAGAAGTATAATCATTCGTTACAATAAATTAAACACTATGTACAGGCATTTCCACAGGCTTTGTTCCACTAACATCACTAACGTCCCCAACTATCCATCCATGGAAAAGGAAGGAAGCGCTACAGTATATGGTTTTAAGAGTCAAGCATCCTGCTCATCAATGGGATTTGGAGAATTAGTGGGAAGAGTTTACGGCGGAATTGCTGCTTTCTTATATATCAGCGCCAGCACCGGGTGCCAATGAATGTCAAGATCTCCTGAAGGGTTTGTAGGGTTTCTTTACACGCCAGAAAGGGAAACGGGGAGCGAGAATTACAGCTAAAACTCTTTCGGGGGGGACATAAAAAGAAACAGCTAAAGTTGGGATCAGTGCGCTAACTGCTGAGAAGTTGCTGTGCAAAAGGACTGTTGTATTCACTCGAGAGCGTGGCGGTGGGCGACCGAATGCAAAGGGACGGGAAGGGACGGGGCAGAGTCTAGCTGTGGGAGTAGAAGCCATAGTAGAGCGAGAATTACAGCTAAAACTCTTTCGGGGGGGACATAAAAAGAAACAGCTAAAGTTGGGATCAGTGCGCTAACTGCTGAGAAGTTGCTGTGCAAAAGGACTGTTGTATTCACTCGAGAGCGTGGCGGTGGGCGACCGAATGCAAAGGGACGGGAAGGGACGGGGCAGAGTCTAGCTGTGGGAGTAGAAGCCATAGTAGCCGATGTCCTTGGCGCAGTTCTTTTCACAGTCCCTTTGGGTCAGCACTTCGCTCTTGAGGGGAGAGGAGCTCTCCGACACCGGGGTGTCCGAGGGCGAGATCCGCCTCCTCTTGGCCTGCTCGTAAATCCCAGAATCAGTGGAGTCGATGGATTTAATGGACGAGGGGGTCTCGATCCAGCTGGAGTCAGACAAGTCTTTGGGCTTGGAGTCCTCAGCGCCCGGCAAGGGGGATCTCTCGGTGACCAGGCTATCCGCCTCCTCCCCTAGGTACGGGTTGCTGGTGGCCATCCGGGCCGCCGCTGCGCTGTTGGGCCAGCAGGAGAGCATGGAGCTGGATTTGCTGCAGTACTGCGGGGGGCTACGCGCGCCCCATCCCGAGGGGTCGGTGTAGTAGCCCAGCGGCCGCCCCGTGCACCCAGCCGCCTGCAGGGGCAGCGCCTTGACCCCGGCCGCTGCGTAGGACAGCAGGGTGGCGGCATTGCCAGCAAAGTCAGTGGCCGTGTCGTAAGCGGAGGCGGCGAAATCTAAGCGGTTGTTGGCCGGGGTGACAAACCAGCGCTGCGGGGACGGGGCCCCGGGGTCCTCGGCTTGCTGGGGAGAGAGCAGCCCGTTGGTGTGGGGCACGCTGCGGTCGCTGCCCGGCCCCGGGCCAGCGCCAGCACCGGGGTGGAAGCGGGACTTAGCGTAGTTACTCACGAACTGGTCCTGCAGGAAGGAGCCGGCCATGGCGTAGCGGGCCCCGGGCACGATCTGCGAGCGGGGGGAGTCATTGGGGGAAGGCGTGAGCCGGTCCATGTCGCAGCCCGTGTAGATCCTGCCAAAGAGAAGGGCAGAGGTCTGGGTGTCCCTGGGTCCGCTGGAGCCAACGGGACTTTTGTCATTGACTTCAGCGGGACCAGGGCTCTCCCGGCGCTTGCTCCCTGGCTCAAGAAGCCAAGGCAGGGGAAGAACGGCTCGGGACGGAGCGGCGGCGACCCGGGTCACCCTTAGAGACACCCCTAAAATGTAATGCCCAGAAACACCGGGGCAGAAGCGGGGCCGGTCAGGGATGTAAAGAAACCAATTGACCAGGTGGACATCCCTCCACTTCTGGCTCCTCGTGATACTGAATACTGGGGGGCTATTTGAGGACAGAAGAGTTACAAAATCAGGTGATTTTACACCTGCCATTCGCAAAGCGGATCTCACATTTTACATGTGTCTTAAAAAAATAGGCCAACACAAACTGAAAACGAGTTTGCTCTCACGTTTATATTTAGTAGGGTCGTGACTTCAAGGCTGACGTTTCTTGTTTGTATTCATTTAATATCTACAGGTCAGCTAACATCCCACCTTCGTGGATGTTGCCACCTTTTCTGGGACCTTGGGAAATCCTACATTGTTGAAAATTGACCAGTCCCATAATATGCGCAACAGGTAACCTTGTCCATTTGTAGCAAAACAGCATGAATGGCAGACTGAAAATTTATCTCTGCGGTTTGACATTTCTGTTCAAGTCATAAACCAACTAACAGGATTTTACTGAATTTAAATTCAGCTAATCTTCAAACACCTACTTAAGGAATTTTAAAAGCAGATGCGCCCATTTTTTTCCCAATATAGCCTAATGGATGAACAGTTAGTGTGTGCATTTCATTCAGGCTAAAACTGTGCTTTAATTAACCCTCCACGCCTCCTGAAATTACTTACCCAGAACACAGTTGGCCCTTAAACAAATGCCATGTGCTAGACAGCATTTAAGCTCTTTTTAAAGTGACATACATGTGAAATTTATAATGTAAAAGAAAAGAAAGCAGAGACATTTTGTGGTTGGAGAAGTCCAGACGGGTTTTCATCTATGGCCTATCCTATATGTAGAAAAATCTTATTTAAATTACACAGACCACGTCCTCTCTTCTGCATTGCATCAATGACCTATTTTGTATGCTCAGATAGTGAGGTTACTTCTCCTTTGAGGCTCTTATCCAAATCACCAGAACCCCGGTGTTTTCCCTCCGGTCACTTGTTGCACATTGCCTTACATTTGGGGAAAAGGGTGTGAATGAGCTACAATTATATTTCCCAAATAAGAATAAATCTGAGCAACAATCAGCTACTTTACATTTAAGCAAAGCGATCGCTCTGGGGCTTGATCCCAGTTTTAGGCCCGGGTTAAGAAAAGCATTTAAGCACTTGCCTAGTTTTATGTATGTGTATACATCTCGTTATTTTAATGGGGTTTAACTGGTTTGCTGAATAGGGATGGACTTAAGCAACTGCTTAAAATTAAGCACATATTGTAGTGCATTTTTCAGTGTGGGCCTTACTAGACGGCAAATTTACAAACTCCATTGGGATCCGGAGATGGCTTTATCTGTGGGGGCTGTTTCCATCTCCTTAAAACACAAATACGCTTCTCTTACTCAGAAAGAAAAAAAGAAAAAAATCCCCTAAACAGAGAGCCCAACCCTGGCAGGTGGTCATCCCACTCTGTTCCCATTTAATAGGCGCTCAGGCAAAATCAGGGGCGCAAAACCCGTGCGCTTTCCCGAGATGTTTGAGTTCCCCATCTCCCACCAGGTCTTCGAGTAGCATTGGGTTACGGGCCCTTCCCACTCACTCTCTGGATGTTTCTCACTTATAGACGCAAGTGCTAGAGCAGTTTGTTGATTTTATTGCTCTATAGTCACAATAATGGGAGGGGAGTGTGGGATGACATTAGCCTCATTTTTGCTTTTGCTTTCACTCCACTGTGTTGGGAGGTAGAGGGAAGTACTCAGAAGTAGCACTTCAGCGGGGGTACTCTTAAATAGTCTATCTATTCCAAACCTTCCTAACAGGGACCATTGAGCAGAGTACAATATTTTGGGATGTTCTATTAAATTCCCGAAAAGGAGCAGGAGGGGGCAAACCCCTAAAGTCAAGTGACAAGTTACAAAACATACCATCATTCGCTCAAAGATTAGACCAATATGCATGTCCGATATGTTTAGGATGATTTTGGATACATTAATAACATATCCTATGGATTTTTTTTCTTTCTACGAAAACATTTCCCATTATATATAACTATCGATATATAGGAGTAGCAAAATAAAAACCAAAAGAAAAGCGAGATAGTGAGAAATAGAAGAATTTTTCTTTAAAACTTTCGGTATAGGATCCTGAATGATTTCAAGAGTCGGTTATATTCAGTAATTTAGCTCCCATAAGTGGTCCTTATTTCCTAGCCTACATACACAGCCTGAATAAACGGGAACTCGAGAACGGGCACAAAGTCATATGCCAGAAAGAACATCACAACTGCCAAAGTCACACGTAGCCTCAGATGCAGGCAGAGGGGGTGAGAAGAGCATCTGGCCCCAGAATGCACAAGGCTGTATTGAATGTGCTAGCCAGCCTCTTCCAGCTTTGCCTCTTAGTAACACATGCGTTCAAATTAATTCGAAAGTTTTTCAAGAAAAATTCTAGCGACAAAAATGAATTTCATTTTTAGTAAGTTACCGAAATCCAGTCCCGACTTTAGAAGCCTGCGTTTGCTTTCTCTTATCTGGGAGAACTTTTTAAAGCTTAATACCTAATATTTCAATGTTTAAATAATTAGGGAGATTTTTAATCCAACCCCAAATACTAAACCAAATAGAGTCTCTACCGCCCTACGTGGGCGCATCCGATAAGATGGATAATAAAATACAATTTACTTACGTATCATAATTGTCTCGAAAGCCTTTTGCAAAAGGGTTGTGATCTATTTTCAATTGTGTAATCTGGGAAAGAAAACAGAGGATCAATTACTATTTTTTCGCACCAATAAATGATGAAAGCATGACAATTGACAAAGTACTGCAGGCACATTTTTAAAGTGGGACTGGTCAATCTTTTTTCATTAGTTACTTCAATTGCCGCTCTTCAAAATATAAAAATTAAGCTTAGCCTGTTCATAAAGGTTTTGGTTAATATGATCGATCTTCCAGTTACTGACAAAAAGGTGAAATAATTTTGATTCAGTCTGTTTTTAAATGTAATTGTTCTCAATTAAAGTTTAAATGTAGGATAAGAAATAATGAATATTTTAAGTTGTTTATATTATATTTAAGAGATTATTGTATCTACACTTGTCTTATTCAAAAACAGAACACAACGACTTTTAATGCATGCCATTTAAAGAGAGAGAGAAAAATATCTGACTACACATTAACAGGATTTTATTCAGATTAAAACGTTCCATCACCCCCAACACAGTCAGCAGCATCAGTGGCTCTTTACAAACTTGCTAAAAATCCCATCAAATTAAATGTGCGCTTTTCAATGAAAACAACTATTGGCAAATACACTCTAGTGTTAATATAATACATGCCGACCCGGTTTCCGCTCGGCTTCCTAAGATGTTCACAGTGGAAACTGATGGCTATTGCGCCCCTATGAAATATTCACTCTGTAGTCCTCACGCCAGACTTGTGCGTATTCGTGAGACTAGCCAGGTTCAGTGAAAAGATACAGCAATGTGAGCCACACGTTTGCTCGTGCTCCGATTGGGGCTCACAATTCTTGACAGTTTTAGCCAAAGGTACAGAATTACAACTTCAGGGGTACACATCTAGGTCCTGGCCACATGGATTCTGCCGGGGGACAAAAAGGAACCGGCCTGATTCAATCATATGCCGGCCAGCTCTCTGCACGGCGTCTAGCTGCCTCTCGTTTTGCGGGCACCTGCACAGAGCAAAGCGCTGCTGGCCGGTTGTGGGTGAGGATGGCCGCGAGTGAAATACAGCGCCAAGCTCTTTACATCGGTGTTCTGGTAGGCGGTGACAGCTATGAACTGAGTCTCCGGGAAGGTGAAAGTCTGCACTCGGCCCGGCTGGTTAGTATCCTCCGTCCCGTCTTCGTTCACCTCCACCACATGCAAACGGGGCTGGTACTTGTGTAAGGACTGCAAGACCACCATCTGTCAGGCATAGAAAGGGAGGGGGACAAAGGGGCTCAGAAGCTACACTGGAGCGAGGAGAGGGAGAAAAAGGCGGATATTTTCCGGTATTTTTCCTTGGGAAAGCGTTTGAATAACAAGCCGTGGCCGAGCTGTCAGAGAGGTTGCACTGACTCAACAACGAAGGCAAAATGCATCCCCTAAGACCTCACCTAGTCCCTTTTTAGCAGCATAGCTACAGATTCACCTCACTTCAGAACGCCTGTATTCATGCCCTCACCTCCCCTATACATAAACCCCACTCCTGAGCCTGGTCTGGGTTTTGTTGCAGGATTTTGTTTTCTTCCTCGGAAATCATGTACAATTCTAAGGAACAGAAACTAGTATGTTTTACACCAGCAGTCTGATTTAACTTAGGGGTCTGATTTGAATTTTCAGGGTTTTATTGGAAGCAACAAATAAAGAGCGTGTGTGAGTTTCACTGACCTGCCCGTTGTTGTTTGAGGCTCCTTTATTGTTTGTAAGTTTTAATTTCCCAAAAGAGATTTCCTGACGCATCCAGTGGGCTCCAGTGTTGGGGGAATCGGGGTGCATATACACTCGGTTTCCTAAAGAAACAAATAAATGCGCCACGATTATAACACACACCCCGCTTCCTGCAACTGTAGCAGCACGCACAAGGTTTCCATGATTCGCATTAAACTTAGCAGCGCTTTACCGGCGATGCTCCCTTCGTTTTAACCGGGGAGGATTAAAATAGCATTTTCTGAACACCCTTCACTCCCCCTCCCTCTTCTTATTTTTTTAAGCATCGTTGGCCCATTCTCGTTTAAGAAGTCGCCCGAGCCAGTCCACAAAGGCTTTAATTAACCATTCTCACCTAAATATGTGTCGGGAAAAGTGTTAATTGGAATAACTTGCCTTGTACATTGGTGTCCGCCTTGCCGCAAGGAACCCATTTGCCTCCTTGAAATCTCCAGTGGTTGGGATCGGCCAGAATTACATCCACAAAAATATTGTAATGAGCCGTGGGATCCAGACCAGAAATATTAAAACTTAGGAAAGGGAACATGCGCCTGTGAAAAGAAAACACACACAAACCCCACCAGCACCGCGTTAAGCCGAGAACCACAAGTCACATAAGAGAACATAAGGGCTGCCTGAAAAAGGGATGAGGACAAAAGGAGACGGGAGCCGCTTTGGGGGCTTTCCCTGCAGGGACTGCTGGCCAGGTGGGCACCTGCACCCCATCTCCAGACACCTTGTGCAAGCACATCACGAGCCATCCTAGCAGGCGCCCCCTGTGACCTACCCCGTCCAGCTCCCCATTTTCACGACGGGCTTGGGGGGCTCGATCGTCAGTCACCCCGAATATCTAGCGCAGGTCGCCCCCCTCAAAAGTCTCCGCAGGGTAGAGTTCGGAGTCCCAGCCCCACCACCCGAGTCCAAGCGCTCCGGGCAGCCGCAGCAGCGTGTGCCGCTTACCTCCCTTGTTTGGTGATGATCATCTCTGTCTGGTGCCGGTGAAATTTCAGCCAGAGTGGCCTGTTGCACAGGTAGACCTGAGCTTTGCCGGGCACCAGCCCCGGCTGGGTGGAGGAGAACTGGTAGAAAGGCGCCCCTTGGTAGGAATGGCCGTACTGCTGGGGGTAAGGGTAGCCTGCCGTAGGGTAACCTTGTGGAGAAGAGTTGGACAGGAGGCTGTTGTAAGCTCCATTGGTGATCACAGGATGGTGAGCCATGTAGCGGCTTGGACTGGCGATGGAAAAGGCTGGGTGAGCGGGTCCATGCTGGCTGGGGTAAGGGAACATGGTACTGGGAGCAGCGGCAGCGGACTGGGGCTGGCTGGACTGAGAGAGCAGATAGCGATCTGCAGCAGATCCATCGAAACTGTGACGAAGCTCCGAGACCCCGTCCAAGACGGGAGAGAGTTTATTTCTCTGGACGTCCCCTGGTGTGTCCTTGGAGTCAGGAAAATTGTCTGTATCTGACTGATTCGTCATCCCCCTGGTAATTTTTTTCAGAGGTGAACTTCTCTCCAGGTTGTCAGTGGTCGAGATAATGGGATGATCATGCAAGGCAAGCTCAGATCCGCCTGCATGTGGATAACTGCTGCTCACATTGAGAAATTTCTTGGAGAGCATGATAGAGGGAGAAAGACAATGCTCCAGCTGCATAGCTCTAGCACCAATACAATAACCCTTCAGTCTCTGGTTCTAAAGGGCTCCTCTTAACATAAACTAGACATCCTGGGACCCTCCCGAGGCAGAAAGCATTTCTCCCACCAAACGCTTCCCCAACGTTTGATTTACTTTTTTTTTTCCCTGGGAGAAGAGATTGGCCAATTGACACTATGCAGCAATAAGGAAAGACTCACTTTTGATCTTGCTGCTTGTGGAGCGGATGAAACGGCTCCTGCCATTGGTTAACCGCTGACAGTAATTTAATTAGATAGACATTAATTAGGATAATCACCTGGCTCCTGGTCGCGACGATCATGGCAAATTGAAGGAGATGATTTTATTGTGGGATAGAAGGGAATGGTGGGGGGAGACAGTGTGTTTGCTGTGAGTGCTCATTACCGTGTGACCTTTCGAGCTTTCTGACTAAGGATAGAAAAAAAAACCCAAGGACCTACGATTTCCTAATTTTTTTCCTTTTTGTGAAGAAGGGAAGAGAGGAGATGCTGGGGAGTTTAGGGGTCAGAATGAGCCCAGGTGTCAGCATTCGCTCTGAATGTAACGATTTCATCGTACAAACTGGAGGCCTGATTTCACCTTGGAAGTTCCAGAATGTGGCTTCCCCGTCTAATATGCAGTGCCCAATAACGGGCCGAAATCCTTCATAAAGATAGTCCCCCTCCCCCACCCTCTCCATGTAACTCCCTCCCTCCAAAGGGAACTGCTGCGCTGGAAAAACAAAACGCCCCTGAAACTCCATTCAGGCAGCATATGTACACAGCGGCAATGCATCGTCTCCTTTAAGTTGTGAAATAATGATAAGCCGCACAGCTGAAGAGCCCTAATGCATTTGCAGGCATGTGTACTGCTTCTCCGGTCACTGCATATTTGATCGGCGGGCTGGCGTGCGGGAGACGCTCGGCAAGGCAGGGCGCGGGGACTGGAGCGAGGGCTCCTTTGTGAGAGATTTGTCACAAGCGCTGCGCTCGATTCACAGAAGCACATTGCAGTGTCGCGAGGGCTCCTGTCGATTCAGGGCGGCGCGAGGGGCTGCGTCCCAGACCCCGCTGTTATTACACGAGGCTGACACCTACTGGGAGAGGCGCGCGGTGGCCCAGGCCCGGGCCACTCCACCTATCCGGCGGAGAGCGCTGCAGGGCCGGGGCTGCCGCAGCTGGAACAGCGCCGCTCGGCCCGGCGAATAGGGAGGCCCCATTGCCCCGAGCTCGCTTAAGCCGCTTCCCTCCTCTGGTGGCAGAGCGGGGCTCTCCTGCTAGCGCTCTGCAGATCCAGGGACTCGCACCTTCTATCTGGGGAGTGGCTGCAACGCTCCAGGGCTCCTTTCTGTGGACAGGGATGTGGATGGAGACACAAGTTTTGGATCTAGAACCATGCAAATGTGCAGATGTCCATTGAGAGCCAGCCAGCACAGCCCCCTTTATGCAGAGGTGGACACAGATACCCGTTGTGTATCCCCACAGACTCCACAGTTGTGGGCTGGTGTGTGAAGACGCACAAGCAGAGGTGTGACCCACACACCTACTGGATGTGAGTCACTGTCCCATGTAATGGCACTTACACCACATACAGAGAGAAAGGGAGTTTGTCCCAGGGCTGTAGCTGAGAGCCAGCTGGCTTTTAGCTCAAGCTGTAGTGGTTCCTGCACTAAGCTCCAGGGCCCCCAGATTCAGTTCCACCTGTTGGTGTTATAGAGGCAGGGGGCAGAGAGGGAATGAGGGGGCCATCACTGGCATGTCACATGGCTCCTGGTAGGAACTATGGGCTTGGTTTCCCCACCAGATGTCTCTAGCAGGAACCCCTGGGGGAGGGGTGGAGAGGGATGCTGGGCCACAGCCCACCCCAGTTGGTGGGATTGAGCCAGCTGCTCTGTCCAGGCCATGCACTCAGGAGGCAATAACTACAGAGAAGCAAGAGGGTGTCTGTTGCTTGTATAGTTGGTCTCCACTTTCCTGTTTAACTAGATGTGGTTTGTTGGCGGGGATAAGCTCAGCAAACCCAGGTGTTTGCAGCTCAGGTGTCTGCCACAGGCTGCACTGCAATGTTGGGCAGGGGCCTTGTTTGTCCCCTCCCCCCATGAAGATAACAGGAGACCATGATCAAGCAATTTGTCTTCTGCCATCCATTTACGCTCTAAGAGGTACCTCTAAGATGGAATATTCCCACAGGGAGCAGGTAGGTGATCAGATAGCAGGTGTGAAATGTCAGGAAACTTTTTTTGGTGTGGGTGGAGGGAGAGATGGACAAGAGGTATATAGTTACATATAGAAGACAAAGCCTTTAATATAAGGAATGGTCCCAATAATTTTAGGACATCTTATCACCCTAGGAGAGAGACAAGCAGGGAGGGAGATTTCTTCTCCCAAGCACTAAGCCTTAGTCTTCTGGGTATGTGGTGCTAACCTGACTGCAGAACTTCTAGCTTAAGGTAATCACACCACTAAGCTTGACAGAGCTTCTTGTAGCCCAGGAGTGATTGAAGCTCAAGTTGGTGATGTTTACACCAAGATCTTTATTCTGAGTGTGGTTTTTCATGGATACACACTGCAGACTAGATCACAATGCAAGCCTGCATTGCTTTCCTCCATTTGAAACTGAGCTGAATCTTCATGAAAATGAATTAAATTTATATTGGGATTGGAACCAAGAGGCCCTTAGACAAAGTACTGGGGAATAGTTTTTGCACCTAGACCACAAAAGGTGTACTTTTAAACCAGAAAAAGGTGATCTCATAATTCCTCTCGGAGGAACTTATGAGTATTCAGCAAATCTGTTTTACTTTGTAAAGTGAAAAGTGAATCTTTAAATCTAGACCAAATGTTTTCCTGAAATATACTCTACAAATTATTTGGTGGAAATTCTATACCCATGAAGGAGGCCAGACTAGATGAGCACAGTGGTGTCTTCTGGCTTTGGACTATATGAATCTAATAAAGATTCTTTAAAGATCTATTTTAATATTTCCTTTTAAAAGGGCACCAACTTGAAAATCTTTTCATCTGAAAGCATACATAATATTGTTGCAAATAGGCTGGAGAAGCAACAAGTGTTTTTTCTGTGAACTTAATAGTTCTTTATATAATCAGCTTCAGCATCTTGCATTTTGTCTCAAGCCACATGATTGCTGTTTTCCAGGTCTACCACTATTGGTGAATCTCTTTCCCCACACTTCACAAGAGTATATTTAATAGTAACATCAGAGAGAGGGGAGGGAAGCTGAAATTAGAAGCACCAGGTAAGTTTAGGCAGAGGAAGACAGTAAAAGAGGAAGAGTGGGGTGGGGGAAGTATTTAGGTATTTCTCTCTCTCCCTCCCCCCCCCAGGAAAAAATATACGACAGTCATCATGTATCAAGAGTTTTTAACACTAGAGAAACCAAGCCAACAGCTACATTAGTTAGTAGACAGATAGAAATGAAGCATTCAGTAATGAGTTTCAATTTTTGGTTCCCTAACTTAAGTACAAAATTGTGAGCAGAGACAGTTGAGGTAGTCTATTGGGATCTAGTTTATTCAATAAAACCATGTTTTAGAATGGAAGCTGTCATATCATATCTTTAAGTAAATACTTCTAATGAAGTCTTTCATGACTTACTCATGTATTACTAAACCAATAGAATTTAGGTATCTGCCATACAGACTCATTGTTAGCATAATATAGATCTAATTCTGTGAGAAGCAATATTTCATGCCAACCAGCTGTAGTTGCTAGGGATGTAAAGGTGTAGTCAATTAACTGATGAGCAAAAGCTTATAGGTTAATGCTATAGACTACATGCATTTCCTCCCACCCCTCCGCCCTGCCCACCCAGTAAATTTTTTAGCAGGCTGGCCAGCAGCCCAGCTCAGTCCTGGCTGGCAATGGGTCCAGGACCTATGCTCACTATGGCTCTGCATTTAAAGCATATTAGGAGCCAGCCCCACTCCCAGGGACTATACAATAGTCAACTAACCGATAAGAACTCATGAGGTTACTAGACTATTCAATTAACCAGTATTTAACACCCTAATAGTTTCTGGTGCTTACTTGTTTTACTAGTACCATGTGCTCCACTATGAAATTGTATTACTGGAAGATCAGGAGATGGGATAAAGACTAGATGAAACAGTGGGAAGGGTTGTACAATTTAGCACATTGAAGCTAATTTATTCAGTAGAGTACATCATTTTACATGGCAACTGCATTTCATTTTGTTGCAAATTGGGAATCATTCAGAAATGGTAACATTTCACTTTGTTAACCCACATAGTTCCTAAATTGGGATAATCAGTGCAGATATGCAGTGGCAGGTGCTGAGGAACTGTCTTTGGGAGGCAGTAGGGGACGTGAATGCATGTGAGAGAGAATCAAACTACCCATCTAGCTCAGCTCCTAATGAAGCTGTGCTCTGCTGGGGTTTAAGAGGCTACCTCAAAATCTTCCCTTACTCCCTCCAAGATAATACTTTGGTCCCTTATCACCATGCGCACCAGCTCCCCCAAACTGCCACACATTCCCTTTCCCATGAAGCTCCTAAATTGCAGGAAAAGTAAAAACTAGAAAATGACAGATGCCTTTTGGGAGTTTGTAAAAGAAAAATTGAGTCAAGCTGATTACAAGCTTGAGAGGTTCCTGCACTAAGCTCCAGAGTCCCCAGATTCAGTTCCACCTGTTGGGTGTTACAAAGCAGGATGCTAGGGACAAATACAGGCTACAGCGGACATGCGACACTCTCATCATGTCTGTTCCCTTTCAGCTATCCTCATTTTCCCACTGCAAGATAGATCTTCATTCCCACATACCCTCTCAACTTTATACACCAATCCATGGTTCTTTGTAGCAAGAATTATGGTAGAAAATTCTAGTTGCCTTGAATGGTAGTCCTCTATGCAAATAATTTTAAGTTAAAGACCTAAATATAAGAGTTGCCTAATCAAAAAAGTCTGGATGATAATGGAACAAGCTGATTACCACAAGTACTTCTTGCCCTGTATAGAATATTTACTGCATAAAGAAAGTGGCACAGTGAGGCAGAACCTTATGGGGTTATTTCTTTGATACAAGAAGTCACATGAATCACTTCTGAAGCTTTGTATTTAAGATCTGCATTTAACAGGACTTAAACGGCATCATCTGCCTGAACCTATGAATTTTCATTTACATTTCTTAAAACATGATTTCACTAGTTAAAAAGAATACCATGTGTGAACAAAGATGTAAGAGGGATACATTATTATGCTAAAGAACTAAGAAGCTTTTGCAGCTGTGTCTTACTGAAAGCCACCAGCTTGGCTTTATTAACTAGGAAACTCACACATCTTTGAGTGAGTGCTCCTATCTTTACTCAGATTGAAGTGGGAGGAGGAGAGACTCTGACCTCACTATTGTGACACTCAATAGAAATTGATCTCATATTTCATCACTATTTGCAAGGAGAGTTTTTCCTCTGTATTCTACTCTTCAAGCAATGCAATCCTTTCAGAAAATATTCTCAGGT